CTGCTGTTCCCGGCGGGTCTCCAGCTCTGGGGCGTGCCCTCCACTCATGGAGCCACGGAATCGGCAAGGTTGGAAAAGAGAGATCTTTAAGATCAGTAAGTCCAGCCGTTAACCCAGCGCTATATCTCTATAAACCCTAAACAACATAAGTGGCAGATCCAGCCTCCTAAGCATCGCCAGGGTTAGTGACTCCATCACCTCCCAGGCCAACCTGTTCCAGTGCCTGACCACCCTAACTCTGGTCTCCAAACAGTCCAAGGTGTGGCAAAGCAGAGGCCGATATTGAACTGTTCATACAAGATTCATAAAGGTCTCTGTTAAAGCCTCCTGGCACAGCCTGGTGAACAGGTCGTGAACCAGGATGAAGACTGGGCTTCTGGCTGTCACTACTAGCCAAGTGAAAAAAAAAATAGGGAAAAAGGAGACACAGGACACAAGCAACATGCATGGCACAAGTGCACCAGGGAGTTTTTCTTTGTAATGGGGGTTTAGTTTATGTGTTGGTGTGGCTTGGGTGTGATGGGAAGCAAGTAGTAGGATCGGAGCTGCTGCTCATCAAGCTGTTCTATTCTTTTATCTTTTAGCTGAGTTACTTTCTCTTTTGCTCCTATTGGATTGTTTTTTTAGGTCAGACATTCCAAGTAACATCACAGGAAGCTACAAAGCTGAGTCTGGCATTCTCAAGGCCTCCACTACCTTCTGCAGAGGTGAGAGAAAGCCTCAACAGACTATGAAATTGCAGTGTGTGTGCAAGCTTTGGGTATTTCTTGGTTCATTTGACTAAATGGGCAGTGTACTGTAGAGTGTATTAATATAGTCCAAGAACTGCCCAGAGAACTAATTTCTGTAAGGTAGGGAGACACACTAAATAATAATATTCTTATATTCTTTATCAGCTACAACTAGTTGCTGATAGAATGTTGGAGAATGCAGATATTAGGTTTAACAAAGAATATGCAATATTTTTGCTATCAGTTAAGAGAAGTTTATTGTACAGGTGTTTGGAGGACAGGAAAAAAAAAGACCTTCAGTTCAGAATAATGATCTGATTTACTCTTTTCTCTCTGGTGTATGACCACCACACCAGGGAGTGTTTTGTTACTTAATTATGAGGCAGGTTAAGGTGCATACAGCTTCCTTACGGTGCCTTCTTCTCCTGCTGTATTTGTTTTTCAAGCAGACTGGTCTTTGCTATTTTTCCCTTTTCTCAGAGCAGTCTGAAGGCCAGTGATTGCTTGTGAGGATGTCTAAATATGGTGCAGCTGTGTGTTACTCATGGGTGACCTTTTGCCTCTCCATTTTCAGGATTGTCAGAAGCTGAGTGAGGATGTCCAAAATGCCATTCTTGCAGTTGCCACCGTGTACTACTGGCTACCCAAGGGCCAAGGTGAGATAATGACAGCAAGGCAGTCACCACTGTATAGGATGGTGGTTCTTTCACCGCCACTATATAGAGAAATTCAGTGTTTCAGAGCCTAATGAGGTCTGGTATCAGCAAGTTTTCATTAGCATGGTATCCCATTGTCAGCTATTCTGTAGACTTTGAACGTGTTTATGAGTGAAATACTTGTTTGTTGCTGCTGCAGTTTTCCATCTGTGGGAGTGTGATAATATAGGAAGTTGTGTAGTTGATTGAGCATTGAAATTTATGAAGTGTTGAAATCCTTGTCCAGCGTTCTTTTGGAACTGGGAAGCATTTTGCTTTTTCAAAATACTTGTAACTTCATTTATACAGTGTATCCACACAAACAGAGCAGTCTGTGTTCATCTTCAACACTTGTTTTTTGTCAGTGCTGACTTTGTGCCAACTTTCCTGTTCTTTCTCAATCTCAACCAGGTACAACTCTTCGGAAGATGGTTCGAGATGCTACCACTGAAGTAGTGGAAGGGATGATCCAGCTCACAGACACAATTCTCAATGCTCCAGTGGAGAGGTTGTAATTTTCAATCACATGATTCTATGATTTTGTGATAATTTTTGGGGAAAAAGGCAAGAAAAAGTTACAAGTATACTTGTTAGGAGGCAGCAAGGGCCCTACGCAGACATTGCATACTAGTGACAAGCTGATTGGTGACATCTATGCTACAGAACTTTGGCTGACGTTCATAATCTTTGGTGCAGAAAATTGGACCACAGTCTAGCAGAGCTCTGGTACTGACTGAGGGTTTTGTTTCAGCTTGTCTCAGGAACAGCTGATATCAACTGGAGGTGTGTGGGAGGCCTGTGAGCAAGTGTCTAACCTGCCACGAGGTGAGTGTTGTAAATGTAGAGTAACAGAACTGGGATGTGTTGACTTGGAAGATCAATAGCTTTTGCAAGGGCAATCCAGCTGGTACAGTGAAGGCTGAATGGAGAATGACTCAAAAACTTGACTGGTTTTGAGATGTATAAGTTTGGAAACCAGGTCAGATTCTTTGCCTGACAACACTACAGCTCTGAGCTCTGCAGAAAGTTTGATCCTACAGTGATTGCAAGCCTAGATGAAGGTTGTTGCAAACTTTTGAAACAGTGGGGTGCCACAGTTTTCATCCTTTTGCTTTTGCAGATAACCAGGCAGCAGTTGTGTCGACTCTGGCAGCATGTCTAGGTGTGGTCAAGGATGCTGTGGAGGAGATGGAACATGTAAGGAAGCCTCTAAGCCTTAGAGGAACCTGCAGTGGTGGATTCATAGACTCAGAATATTCTGAATTGGAAGGGATACACAAGGATCATCGAGTCCAGCTCCTGGCCCTGCACAGGACAATCCCAACAATTCCACCATGTGCCTGAGAGTTGCCCAAATGCTCCTTGAACTCTGGCAGGTTTAGGGCTGTGACCACTTCTCTGGGGAGTCTGTTCCAGTGCCCAACCACCCTCTATGGTGGTTCAGTGATGAAACACGGGAATTATACAGGCTTTAATATAAATTTGTTCTGAAATGACACAGATTATTGTTTTATGTGTGGTTTTTAATGATTTTTTATTCTCAAGCCTGGTTTACTTTGTATAAGATTTTCATGAAGTCATGTCCTGAATTGGGGATGGGGGAGGCATTTTAGGGTCATGTAAGAATTTATCAGGTTCTTGCTGTTTACACTGTTGGAGTGGTGGATTAGTTTTTCTTAATCCAGTCATTTTGGAATAGCCAACTGAGATTTCTCCATTAATTATTTATATGATGTCTAGAATATGCATTCCCTTTCCTCCTGGGTATTGCTGGAAATGAGTTAGGCTCTTGGTTTTCAGTGCCTCTGTGTTCTCAGGCACTGGTGGAAGGGCAGGATCCCTATGGGGACATCATGGAAGATGAAGAGCTGGGCTTTCGGGGCAACAGAGACACATACTGGTCAGAGGCTGACCGGCAGCTGCTCAGCTCCTGCATGGGATTAATGAAGGCTTCTAAAGCTTGCCTGAAGAAAGTCTTGGCTGCAGTGAAGGCCCATGGCAAAGCTGATTCTCCAGAGCAGATTGCACAGCTGGATGACCTGGCAGACATTGCTAATGAGATCAGCCCAAGGTAAGCAGGATTCTCCCCATGCTGCTTTTCCCTCTAGAGCAGTCCTGGTCTTTTTTTGGGGTCTTGAGTATCATAACCTTTATGATAATGGAGCTGTAAGCAGGTGGTGGGGGGTGTGGGGGGAAAGCTGTTAAGCTGTTGAGAGTTGTGTAGGTCAGGAGAGGAACATAGGGGATGGAGCTGTGACCACTCCATGGTGAAAACGACACACAGAGAAGGCAGTGAGAAGCTTCACATTGGTACAGCTGACATCTCACTGTTTTTCCTGACCTGCATTCAGGATGGGTGCAGGCTTTGACCAGGTTCTGTGAGTTGTGCTAGCAGAACATTTCTTCCTTGCTGCCCTCTTTTTTTTTCTAGTGTTGATGAGCTGGCACTGAGCATGTACCCGCCTGTGAACCCATTGGCTGTGCGACTTAATGTGAGTATCTGCAGTACTGATATCTCAGTATCTGAGTATCTGCACGTGGGAAGTGGCCTGGCTGTAAGGAAGGGGAAGAAATCAGATTGGAGGGGTTATGTGACTTCAGGGAGAGATGGGTGTTAGTGACTGCCTCAGTAATATTTTTTTTAATACAGCCAGGTTTTTTTTTTCCTGTCACAACCAGGATTAGGCTGGGAGACATTTCCAGCATGGCAGTGATGGATAACTTCATTCTGCATCAGGATCTGTGGCAGTTTTATTCATTCTTTGCTCTTGTGCATCCCTATAGTCCTCTGTATTTTCAAATACTTTTCAGACCCTACTTTTCCTTACATTTGGCTCACCTTATTTCCCTTTTGTTTCTTTCTAGGCTGCTAAGTTGGCCTCAGTATTAAAGAAAGTCTTAGAGATTGCAAAGTGAGTATGAGCTACAGTTTTATAAGAGTGTGTTCCCTACTATGAAGATTGATACGTTTCTGCCTCATGTCAAAGATGACTCATTTCTAGACAGTAGATGCTGCCATTTCAGAACTGTGATGATGTTATCTAGTCACAAAGGGTTGGGAGTAAGAAAAGGATGCTAGGGATGATAGTGGTTCCCTTGTTTTGGGTTTGGGACTACAGACATGAGCGTGAGTTCTTTTTTGCTCAAAGCCCTGTGGGGCTAGAGCAGCCTTGTTTTACTGCTGTGCTTATTCAGAGCTTCACAATATCCCCATGTTGCCTTGATGCATAACATACCCAGGAGGCTTCCCTAATGGATTTCCTCTGCTTTTGCAGGACAAGCCATGTATGTCCAGCATCAGAGGAAGGCTGGGTGCAGTTTCTAACTGGCGCAGTAGACCACAACATGAACAAAGTTAAGAACTTCCTGGCATCTGCATTTCCAGTGAACTTTGCTGTTCTTCAGCTGCATGGAAAATGATGAGAACAATATAGGAGAGAATTTCACTGCCACTTGGAAGAACTTCTCCAGGAAGTTGCCCTTTGCCATTGCAGAAGGTGTCATTTTGCTTGGATTCTTGGGATGATGCAATACTGCATCTTAACGTGCCCCATTCTTCAGACATTACAACTACTGTGGGGTTCAGAGAAAAATAAAATATTGCTAGATTTACATTAGTTGCTTTATCTGTCTTCAGAGGGCAAAGGATATATACAGGATGAAAGGGTCTTGCTTCTTTTGCAGGCAGCCCAGTGAATAATTATAAAATGTGCTGCACTTCTGCTATTTTCTGTCTAACCTTAGGGAGCAGTGGATGAGCTTTCTCTTTTTTATTTTCTCAGAAAACAGCAGAAAATATTGTTTACTACCTTACCTTACCAATATCAAAGATCTATAGAGGGATACATCCTCTTATATGTATATGTATATCCCTAGAGACATGCTACATCTATCATCCCTTTAAAGATCCAGGATACCCTTTACTTTGTCACAGGTGTAGGGCAAGAGACTAAGCACAGGTGTGGTGGGAACTGCAATGTCTGCTTGAGCATTGAGTCCATCTTTGTCATAGTGAGGTTCAACTTCTAAAATTGGAGACTGCACATAGTGGCAGATGGGAAAGAGTTGAGTTTGTGCAAACAATCAAAATCAAACATGGTTTTAAATATAAATTTTGTTAAACTGTTAACATCTATGCTTGCCTGTGATCAGGGCACAGATCATGGCCACTCTTTTGAGTGGGACAGCAGGACCTGTTCTGAGTTGGCCTCAGGCAGCTGCAATGTTGGTAGTTCTGTAGCTCTTCAGGTTCTGGAGCTGAAGGCAGGCAAGACGTGCAGTGAGTCTTCTGGGCCCTGCTCGGGTGGGGGTGAATGGGATTTGCAGCTCTTGGGTGCTTTTAGCTTGAACAGAGCCCAACCTGAAAGGAGAGAAGGGATTATACAGGAGTCACCCCTTGTGTTTTTTGTTTGCTGGGTCTAGGATACGCATTTGCTAGACAGGAATGTGATGCCAAAGAGAAGGAAAGAAAAAAAAATAAATAGAAGAAAGCTGGCAGTTACTTGAGCTACCACACTTAAATTGTCATCTAGAAGTAGTTTGGGAGGGAGATTGGACAGGAGAGTTGAAACTCTCCATGACTCTCCATGACTCTCCAGACATCGAAGGGGACTTTGTCCTAATGCAGCTTCTTGAGACAAATGTGGGGTGTTTGCCATGTGAAGGGGAGCATGCCCCTTTGGTAACTTGGCTAAGTCACATTTGTGTGGTTGTTCAGTAGAGAAGGGGAAGACACCACTGTCTTTATGGCTTACAGTGGGTAATGGATGTAAAGATGTCATGAACAGTACAGTTCTGCTCCACTTAAGGATGTTCAGGTTGCTTGCTAAAAAGTAATTTATTTCTCAACAGCAAATAATTTCTAAATTTCATAGCACATTTCAATGACCTCTAACTGTTGTCTTATTTAATGTGTGTTTCTGACTGAGTCTTGTGGCCTTTCTCTGGTTATCCTTTTTGTTGGCAGGAGGTTTTCCTCTTGCTGTCTATGCCTTTGATGTTGAAGCTTTCACAGATGCCATATTGGCTTCAACTTATGTATTACACATCTGTTGAAAGTTCTCTTAGCTGGCTTTTCTCCTTCTCAGTGTGAAAATTGTCTGCATTATCTGTAAATAAAGGATGGGATGCTTAGGGCTTTCATGCTCTAGTGATATCTTCCTGCCATGTTGTTGCCTGGTTATTTTTGGGGACAACCTTTCCTGTGCAAGGATTTCTCTTGCCTGTATTATGTCTCTGTTTGCTGTTCTTGGATCAGTCCATTTGTGGTTACCTGTAATTCCTTTGTCTGTAAATGAGCCCTTGCCCTGCGACTGTGATCACACACTGCTCCAGGGGTTCCATGAGGGGGTTCTGGAGGCTGATCTTTGCTGTGCTCGGCTCATACTGGACCATGTTTTCTGGGAACTGTTGAAAGAAGCAAATGAGCTGAAACTGTGAGAAAAAAATTATATTCTTCTATGATTAAAGAGAGATATGTAATTTTTCAGTGCCTGAGCTCCTATTTGCCAGAAGAGACAAAGTCCAGCTTAATTTCTTCTGCTCTAGTTTCTCAGAGAGCCCCTGAGCACAGCAGAATTGTTTTGCTGCTTATGGCTATGAAAGCTGTTTTCTCCCTACTGCAGTGGCAGAATGGCAGCCCAATCTTACCTCAATGGTGAGAGGGGACTCACAAATGCTGATTTCTTCCTGTGCCAGGTACATGTAGAAGGAGTCCTCATCTCTCAGCACGGCAGTCAGCCTGAGCAGGTGGTTCTCTCCCAGATCTTTTCCAAACCATGTGTAAGGCACAGAGACCTGCAGCTTATTGACTGCAACAGAGCGGTGAAATAACAGGTGATGAGTGCAGTCTGGTCTTTTCCTGCGTGATACCTAGCAGTGTTCAGTGCCCAACATTGTACTAAAAGCTGCAGCATTGAAATGCTTAAGTGACCCAAATTGGATTTGCAGATTGAAAATCTCTAAGGTGATGTTGCCAGAGTGTTATTTCACAGAAGAGGTGAGGTTGGAATGAACAATAGGGAATCATCTGGTCCAACCTCCCTGCCCAAGCAGGGTCATCCCAGGGCACATGGCACAGGATTGTGTCCAGTCAATTCTGGAATATATCCAGTTAGGGAGACTCCACAATCTCTCTGGGAAATCACCTAGAATCAACTATTCAGCCAACCTTTGTAAACCTAGGGCTAGGAGGATTTTTCTGTATTGAAAGCACTAGAGGACTTTTCTAGCCATGCACCCAGGAGAGTGCTTACCTGAATTGCTTTGGAGGTTAAAATGAAAATCTTCCTTCCAAAGTTGGGCAATGGGAACACCATTATAATGCAGAGACTGGATCCCAACTACTAGATGAGTAGCCTTTTCTCTACCACTGTGGTTTAGCACTTCAATGGAAAGTGTAATATCTTGTCCCAGTTTCAAAGAACTGCTCGACTGGAGGCAGATGAAAAGGTTGACTGGGTCTTCCAGAGCAGTAGGAATGGAGATAAACTCTGTGCTGCTGCTGGTTGTCTCAAGTTCCTTCATAATTTTGTAGGCTTTGTCAAGTACTTTTTTTTCCTGGAGAGAACCTGTCACAAAAAAGAAGCAGTGTATACTTTGGTACTCTTTCCTGTTTACTAGTGAGAAACAGCAGGAGAATGGCATTGATTTCTGGTAGTACTGTAGATAACTCTTTCTAAGAGCATAGAGAGATATCCTTTTGTGCATTGGAACAGTTTGACAGCTTCAGCTGTCAGGATATTCATTGGATGTGCCTGACAGATTCTACTTGGGAGTAGCTGTCATAGTTTTTAAAACACCTTGGTGCTAACATCTCTCAGAGTAGAGGAGGCAGCTGTTTTTTTCTTGCTGTAGCTAAGGCATAATTCCATGTTCTCATGTGTGGAGAAGTTGTAGTTGTCTTCTGCAGCCATGAAGACAACAAGCCACAGGTTAAGTGAGGTGGTAGGGTTGGGCCAGGGAAACAGCACTCAGATTCTGAAAGGGGAGATACTTGTTGAGGGAGAGATTTAGGCAGCATCTGAGAGCACACCAGTCCTTTTCAGAAAGCTAGAGTCTGAAATAATCTATCCATATTTACATTACAGAGGTAAAGGGAGGTGGATGTCCAGAGATAACAGAAATGAGAAAAGGTATTCCAGACATGAAAGTGCTTGGTGAACAAACACCTGGTCTTCTAGAGACCTTAATGCTATAAAGCAGGATGAAGTTTGGGTAATGACCTCTACTTAGGCTCTGGAGACAGGGAGAATTAGGTGTTCTAGTGCCACTGAAGAAGGGGAAGTAGTGAGAAGTGGATGACCCTGGTGCTCTGGTTTGGCTCTGCTCTAGTCTCCTTGCTTGTAATAGTGACAAGGAATGTGCCTGCCCCATACCTTCCGGATACTTGTAGTTTTGTGTGATGTCCTCACAGCGTTCAGTGCCAACGCTCTTGGTGCTGATGTTGTTACCGGTGTATTTTGTCCCACCAAAAGCTGGCTTGAGGGTGTCATCTGCTTTGTGTATCCAGACATGACACTTGGCATTGATGGCAGCAAAGAAGTAGGAGACATCATAATCAACTTGTGTGTCCCCTTCCTTGATGGCATGAACAGGGGCTGGCCCACAGAAGGATAGACCTGAAGAGAAAATGTGGTTCAGTTAAGATTCAGATGCTTTCCCAATTAAACCCATCCCTACTTTAGACCTATACTGGTGAAGTATCTAGTTTAGGAGGCCATTAGGAAGCAGCGACAGAGCTCTTAGAGCTATGTGAGCTGCACAGACCAAACAAATGATAGTTTTGTGCCTAAAGTCACCAGAGTGAGTTCCTGTCCTTTTGCATCTTTCCCCTGGTAGATGGGAAAGGAGGAATATTGAACAGCTTTATTTGTGCCATGCTTCACTTCCCCCCTGCCCTTGCTCATGCTCTGATATCTTACCTTTGCTTTTTTCCTGGCAGGTGGCATCCAGTGCCTGCCACCCGCTGTACTCTGGTAGCAAATCTGTCCGAGCCATCCAGCATTCATTCCAAACATGGAAGGTCCTGCAAGGGGCAGCAGCATGAGCTTGTATCGAGGGACTGAGCCCTGAGATACAGTGAAGCTTTTGCCAAACCACAGCCAGTTAATGCTCCCTTGAAAGAGTTCAGTTCATATTGAGAAGAGCAAGACCTCTGTGTGGGGAACAAGTGGAGTTTCTCTAGCTGGACTGGGCTATCATTCTTCCTTTGTGGGCCCTAGAGAAAGGGCACTTTTGAGTTTGGGTTGCAGCAGTTTATCAAGAACAGGTTTTGTAGACAGGATCTCAGCTGAGCTGCCTCCTATCACCTCCTCGCAGCTGTTTTACCTCTTTCCCACATGTTTCATTTCCCATATCCAAGTATTGTCTCAAATTCTTTCTTGGGCCCTGCCATGTGTTCTTACCAGACACGAGCACTC